TGACTCAAACTGTAATATACCCCCTCTACTAATCAAGAATAATCTCTAGTCACCTTGGCAAGGCCTCCAGGAGTTGAACTGAGGGAGGATGGTGTCATGAAAAGCCCCAGAACTCAGCTGGTCAGAATAGGTATGAATCCTGCCTCTTCCACTAACAGGATTTTGTGCCTGAGCAAATCACTTAACCCCTTTGACCCTCTTTCTGTCATCTGTAAAATGAGGAAACTACTGAAAGGGTTCACTTTACAGGTTGTCAGAATTTAATGGCCATTATACTAGTGGGTAAGAAAAATAAAGTCAAAACCATACCATTTGTAAGCAATGTGCTAAAAACTCCATTGTTTTTCCTATTTACTCCTAAAGGAATGAAAGATCAGAGAAGTTAAATGACATTCCCAAAGTCCCACAACTAGCAAGAGGCTTTGCTGGGATTCAAACCCAGCTCTGTAGGATGAAAAGCTCTAGCACTAACAAACCTTGCACAGAACCCAGTATAAAATAGGTGCTCACTACAGACTAGTCCATTCATCTTTTTTGTCCATTTGTTCATTCAATGAACATTTTGTTCAACACCTATTTTGTGCCAGATTCTCATATGAACTCACAATGCAATAATGAATAACACATAGTTTGTGCCTTAAAATCATAGTCTGAGTGGGCTTCAGGCTGTGTGTTCTAGTGCAGAGAACACTGTGCTGGGGATCAGGAATCAAGGTTATGGACATTAGTCCGTAGGAGATGGAAGTGGCACAAAGGTGACCTTGCAAAACTTGGAGATAGAGACAGCTCACTGGGATAGCAAGGAATCACTGATCTAGTCATTTGTGCCAGTGGGAGACTTGGCCAGGACTCTGGAAGGGTGGTTGTTTCTGTCCCTCCTGTTACTTAGTCCTGGTCTGACCACAGCTGGCCAAACCTGGATAGCGATGGCAGTTTGTCTGCATCTGTTCATAAATCAACACCCTACCTCAGCCTTCAGTTTTACAAAGTAAGTCTTTCTCTGGAGTCCCACCATTTGTAATATGCATTTAGATTTCCTTGGTAGTTCTCAACTAGAAGATATTTTGGCAATCACTGAAGATGTCTTTGATTATCATGACTGGTAGAAGGTACAGAGAGAGAGGGTGCCATTGGCATACAGAAGGTAGAGAACAGGGATGCTGCCAAACATGCTACAGTGCACAGAACAACCTCTTATAATAAATCATTATCTGGCCTCAAATATCAATGGTGTGAAGCTGAGAAACTCTCACCTGCCTTTTCCTGTTTCTGGTCCTGGAGATCTGTAGGTGGCTTCTACGTCCATTTATCTCTGGGCTTTTTCCTTCTGCTTTGGGTCTGTTGATATGCTTGTCTTGCCTTTGAGCATGCTATGTCTAATCTACATAGATCTATAGATTTAGATCTATATTTCAACATTTTAACTGTCATACTATGTGTTAGGCTGTAATAATGGTATTACTTGATGTAAATAAATTTACACTCTGGTTTATATTATTTCAACATGTGAATTTGGTTAATGTGGTTCTACCCTTTAGAGATGGATCTCCTTTCTCAAGCTGAAAAACAAATAGAAGTTCCTGAGTCTGTAATGTTGAAGGCCATGCCCTGGATAATTGTGAATTCAGTAAGACCAATTCCATTCAAGAATTAACCTCCTGGAGAATCAAGCCAACTTTTTTCAAGGGACGACCTACTTTCAACTTGCTGCTGAGCACCGTGTGCCTTAATGTGAAAACTGCAGCTGGTTCTAAACCATGTTTACCAACAGCCCTTCCTTTGACCTTCAACAAGTAACATGTTTTTTGAGTTTTTAATATCTTATTACATGCAAAACAAAGGAATTGGAGACTAGATAATATCTGAACTCTAATATTCTGAATTCCAGGTCTAAGTTGTGATGTATTTAATGCAGGTGCTAGTTATTTACAGTTTATTCCAGAATAACACAATGAATATCTAAGTATTTATGATAGAAGAACTTCCTATAGTTTTCTCTTGCCTTATCATGGTTTGCTTTTTAATGGACTGCAACCAAGAATAGGGTGGCAACATGGCATGGTTAATTTTGTAACCTCTCACTCCCTGTATAACTTATCTGAAAAATAGGAGTAATAAATAGCAGCCCCACTTCTTACGATTCTCTTAAGGATTAAATGAACACAAACACACAGTAAGTGGTCAACTGATGTTAGTGTATTAGATTTCCAAAGTTATCCAGTGAATCTGTGAAAATATAGTTGGGCTGTTATCCATCATGTAGATCAAAAAAGAATTCTGTGAATACCTTTTCGAATTTCCATTCAGTGTGGCTCACCAAAAAAAGTCCAAAAAACAAAAACTACCCTCCCACAACAATAACAACAACAGCAAATATGAAAGACAAAAGGCAAAACAGCCACGAAAGTTTGATGCAAATAAGTGTCTAGGAAAGCAGAACAATTCCAAATATGAATCTCCAATTTTCCACAACTGGGATATATCAACACAAACCCCTACCTTGACTTGAAAAGAGTTTGTCATTTCTGCTTAGTGTGTGTTCCCATGCATAAATGGGAGTGCAATGTTTTGACTGGGTTTAAGAACAAGAGCTTTAAGATAATGCGCAAAGGGAAGTTTTAGTCCAATCTAAATCCAAATCCAAACACACAAACCCTATTTGCAAATTGGAATCTGAGTCAAGTCCCTTTGAGGCTTGCATATCTCTAATTAGCAGCGATTTAGTCCCTGTGCCCAGCTACAAACAGCCAAAGTGAAGCATGCCATTGGCACGATAAGGATTTGTCTGGAAAAAAATGAATTTTCTCTTGCAAGGAATGTATGTCTTCCCCCATTGCAGTTCAATTACTTTGGAGAATATGGGAGGAAGAGAATATATTTTAAATGGTGGAATAGGAATCTGAGAGAGGGGACATGCCTTTCATTAAGAGGATAATAAAAAAAAAGAGAGAGAGAGAGAGAGAGAGAGAGAAATTAGTTTAGTCAACTGTAGCTTCTCCTAAAAATTCCTTATGCAAAATTGGGGTAGATTCTCACTAAAGGAGTATAAGACAGTGAGGGAAGGAAAAGATATTGCCCTTAAAAACAACAACAAAACACATACACACAAAAGGAAGACTGCCACTTTTAAGACGTTAAAGATACAGAACTTTCATGTTCAATGTGGGTTAGGGGTAAAAGTCTTTATATCTGCAGAGAAATACACTCCTTATACCAGATAGCCTTTGCATTATAACAAAACTCCACAAAATATAATGGCTTAAGACAATGGTTTATCTTTTCTTCTGATTCTTTGAGTTGCTGGGGTTAGCTGGGTGTTTCTTCTGCTGTCACCTGAGGTTGTCTGTGTGACTGTAATCATCTGGCAGTTTAATTGGGCCTGAAGGAGTTAAGATGGCCTCATTCGAATGTTTGGAGCTTAGGTACTGATTGGCAGCTTGACTCTCTCTACATGGTTTTCATCATGTGGTAGTCTCTCTCAGGCTTCCTTACATAGTGATGGGAATTCCAAGAGGGAGAAAATGGAAGCTTCAAGGCCTCATATGTCTTATACTCAAATGTCATACAATATCACATCTGCCCCTTTCTATTGGTCAAAACAAATCACAAGGTCAACCCAGATTCAAAGGGTTCAGAAAATTAATTTCACCTCTTGATGGGAGGAGTGACAAAAATTACAGTGAAAAAAGAGGTATGGACACAGCATGACATGATATATTGGAGGCCATTATGAAAACAATCTGCACACACTTACTCCAATTTATAAAGCCAGGGGAAATTGTGTACATATTGTGGCATTCCCACAGTAGAAAATGTTAGCCACATGACTCTAGCCAAGAAGGACAGACTTGGCCTTGGCATTAACTGACCTTTTGAAGTGTAGTATCACCATTCCTTCTGCCAGACACCAACGCTCTGGATTGAATGATCATCTCTTCCTTAAGGTTCACAGCTCTTTCAGACTTACCTCTAGACCCACCCATGAATCTTTGGAGTAAACAAACTTAATGATCCCTTTTTGGCTTGTAAGTACATGACACAAATTCAGAAAGAAGCTTTGCCTTCTTCTTCCCCAATTGACATTTTTTTAATTTCTTTATTACACACAACCTTCTGAAGTATAACTTTGTCTGTCTCATTTCCCCCAAGGATATACTTTTGAGTAAAAACCAAAGAGCCCCACTGAATGGCATTCAGGCTGGGTGGGGCAGGCTGCACCAAGGCAAACGCTTACTCTGAAAAGACATACAGAATGGAGATACTGAGACCTCCTCTTCCCAAAAGGAAAATATTGGGAGATGAGCTATGTACATACATGTTATCCTTTGCAAATTTAACAATCAGAGAGTTTAGTCCCCCTTTACAGAGAAGAATAAATAACACTGGCAGAGGGGACCAGATGTTTCACATGAGTTGCGTTCCCTCTACCTGGAAGGAAACATTAAAAAGGGAGACAAATTCTTTCAAACTTTGGCTCACTGAAACTGTCTTGGAATACTATTGAATCATGTCACTACACTGGCTTGTTCGAAACAAGGTAACTTGAAGAAGGTGCTCTAAATCAAGGGCAGATGGCAAAGACTTTGCACACCATTTAGGATGCACTAGTAGTGCTCTTTGAAACACCATTAATAAAGATTCTGAGACCATATATTGGTTGAACATTACATTCATTTAGTAATGTCTGCCCTGGGTGCAGTAATGGGAATGGTGCCAAGTGTACCCATATTTACCAGCCATGGTACAGATTATAGAATACGTCCCCGTGTTGGCCTGGTACACTTGCCTACTAACTTTTCGAGGCTTAGCTCAACTGCTTGCCTACCCTCCAATGTAACTTTTCGGGATCACCATCCATACGTGTCCCCCCTTAATATCCATATGCTTCATGTCTATTATACTACATTACTTACATTATGTCATTATTTGTTTAAGCTGTATTCTTACTTAGTTTAGTATCCCCAGTGCCTAGCACCATGCTGGCACAATTGAGAACACAATACCAACCTTTTGAATTTAATCGGGCCTTCTTCCATAAGCTTTGCATAATTCCATTTGGCTAGTGCATTTTGCAGACAGCTCTGGCAAGTCCATGAACATAAGCTTCAATTTTTTCTGCAACAAAGTAGGTTCTTCTGGGAAGAATCACAAGTAAAATAGGATTAGAGGGGGTTCAGTCCATTGAGTTTGATGTGAAACACAGAATACTGTGAGCCACACTTCCAAAACTGATAAAAAATAAAAACAGGATAGTTAAACCTAACCCTGAAGACCTGAGGAAGTTCCAGCTTAAATAGGAAGCAAGAAGATATGGAGAAACTAGAACCTTGTATACTGTTGGTGGAAATGCAAAATGGTACAGCCACTTTGCTGAATTTTTTGTTGTTTTTTTCACTGGCAAGAGTCATAATGTCTCAGCAGGTGCAGCCACTTTGGAAGACAGCATGGAGGTGCCTTTAAAACTAAAAATACAGCCAAGCATGGTGGCTCACACCTGTAATCTCAGCGCTTTGGAAGGCTGAAGTGGAAGGATTACTTGAGGCCAATAGGTCAAGACCAGTCTGAGCAACACAGAAAGACTCTGTCTCTATTTTCTTTTCTTTTTTTTTTTTTTTTTTTTTTTTTTTGAGATAGAGTCTCCCTCTCTCGCCGGGGCTGGAGTGCAGTGGCCAGATCTCAGCTCACTGCAAGCTCCGCCTCCCGGGTTTACGCCATTCTCCTGCCTCAGCCTCCCGAGTAGCTGGGACTACAGGCGCCCGCCACCTTGCCCAGCTAGTTTTTTGTATTTTTTAGTAGAGAGGGGGTTTCACTGTGTTAGCCAGGATGGTCTCGATCTCCTGACCTCGTGATCCGCCCATCTCGGCCTCCCAAAGTGCTGGGATTACAGGCTTGAGCCACCGCGCCCGGCCGACTCTGTCTCTTAAAAAAAAAAAAAGAATTACCATATGATCTATGATCCAGCAATCCCATTTCTGGGTATTTACCCAAAGGAATTAAAGTTAGGATCTTAGAAAAATATTAGCACTCATGTTCATTGTAACACTAGTCTAGTCCCAATACCTAAGATGTGGAAACATCCTAAATGTCCATTGATAGATGAATGGATAAATACAATGTTGTATATACATAAAATGGCATATTATTCAGCCTTTAAAAAGAAGGAAATTCTGTAATATGCCACAACACAGATGAACCTTGAGGACATGATGTTAAATGAAATAAGCCACTCACAGAAAAACAAATAGTGCATGATTCCACTTATAAGAGGTGTCTAAAATAGTCAAATTCATAGAATCAAAAAGTAAAATAGTGGTTCCCAGGGGCTGGGGGCAGGGAAAATGGGAGTTACTAATTGACAGGAATGAAGTTTCAGTCAAGCAAGATAAATAAGCTCTATAGATCTGCTTTGTAACATAGCACCAATGATTAACCACAGTATATTGTACACAATTTGTTAAGTGGGTAGATCTCATTTTAAGTCTTCTTATCACAAAAATTAAAAAAAAGAAAATGGATGGATGCATCTTGAGCAGTAATATAGTGGTGGGGCTATATTTACTGTAGTTTCCAAATCACTATGCAATGGCATAGTCTCATATGATTGGCCTTCAGCAGTCTTTCAAAGTGAAAAGTGACCATTTCCTATAGTCACACCATGTGTAGAGGAGAAAACAACGTTGTGTTGGAATCATGGAGCCTGGATGTAGTTGTAGTTCTGTCCCTTGATAGCTGTCACAATGGAAGGCTTGTCACAAAGGGGAGCAGTGCAGGGCCTTTCTCCTTACCTGTAAAATGGAGAGGGTGATAATACCCCAAGTATCTAACAGGCCTTGTGGCAGTCATGGAACATTGTATAAGAAAGGAAGAGTCTCCAAGTCTACTGAGAACTATACGAAATTTGTATTTTTTTCTCATGAGCTAGTAATTATGGTGTTTTTTTTTTTTTTTTTTTTTTTTCAAATATTTGAGTGTCAAGAGTGTTTGCTATTTTTGGGTGTGAGAATATGACTCTGAAAGCGATTCAGTTCCAAATGGAGTATTTCAGTTTTGGAACAGCAGTATTATCATTTTCTCCTGTTCAGTATGGAGGCACTGGTTCTTTGTGCATATATTTGTAAGTTGTCATCCTGATCATGTATAAATCAATGAAGAGGAAGAAAGTTGAGTAAGCCCGGGAAAGCTAACAGGGCTACATATGTGTACATTGGGCCCCCACTTTCTGTACCTTGATTTACCTTAGGCCTTGTGCGTTTCCCTCCAACCAGGATTAGTCTGTGTGAATGATTTTATTTGCAAACCCCTGCTAGGAACCCTTACCTGAACACTGGACCTGCTGGTTCTGACAGCCTGGTGAGATAGCTCAAGTTCCTGTGCACATGGAAATGAGCTACAAGGAGGTGAACATTTGGCATCCAGCAATTTTCTTCTGCAGTCTGAGTCTAGGGTGAGATTTGTAGTGTAACCAGATGAGAGGAAGACAGTGGATGGGACTAGCCTCTGCGTAAAGCTTTCTTGTTTATCCAGAATGCAAATATTTTTGGCTTGAGTTCTGCAGAGCAGTGCTTACCAAACTTAAATACACAGAGGAATTATCCGGGGGTCACCTTAAAAGGCATTGATTCTGATTCCATAGGTCATTGATTCTGATTCCATAGGTCTGTGACACCACCTGAGACTTCTGTCTACATGACTCACAGTTTCCATGACCATACTTGAAAGAGCAAGGCTATCTAGACAACAAGCTTTGTAAAAGAGTCTCTTCCATTCACAAAATTTCCTACAACCACGCAACTCCAAACACCACAGCCTTCTTCTTCCCTAGTAGTTGCTAAGTCTGCTTGTAACTTAGGGGTAGAAACCTGTCCCAAACAAAATATATACCAGTATCTAAAATACATTTTGTTTATTTGAATAGGAGGCAAATAAGAGGTACAGGTGGGAGAACTGTCACTCCCTGCTGAAATACAGAGTTCTCTAGCTAGACAGCTCAAGAAGGAATAGATGAATGGCCCCATCAAGAAACAAATGCCAGAATGCAACCTTTAAAGATGTCAGCCACAATTTATTCTGTTTTCTGATTATTCATTTAATTAAGCACACCCCATCGCTTGTTAGAATGAGAAATATTTATTTGGAAAGTTTTTATACAAGCCTCTGCTTCTTTATCAGTGGAACTTAACAATATTAGGTTGGTGTAAAAGTAATTGAGATTTTTGCAACTAAAAGTAATGGCAAAAACCGCAATTACTTTTGCACCAACCTAAATTTAATTGCAAACTTAAATACACAGAGGAATTATCCGGGGGTCACCTTAAAAGCCATTGATTGCAAAACCTCAATTGCAAAAATCTCAATTACTTTTGCACTAACCTAAATAGTTTGTTTCATAAGTGTAAATGTTATTGACACTGTCAGAAAACCTTTTACATTTTGGGGGGAATGGGGAAGTTGCTATATTTGTGTGATGCTGAAATAACCCATTGGAAATGAAAAAAATAAAAATACACAAGTAAGTTGGTTATTTATCTCTCTGCCGGTAAATGTAGTCTGACTGATTTTTTACTTTTTACTTTCAGCAAGAATTAACTTTTGGTTTTGGTATATGAATATCAAGCTTCACTCTCTCCCTTCTATCCTCAACACAAAATAAAAATGGCACAATCATTGTCACTCCTTTTTTCCAAGAGTTGTTGTAAAATTTGGCAAAATCATGGAAGTACTTCCAAATAAATCACTGTAGTCACCTAAGAATCACTTCAATTTCTTTATCTTCTTTATCATCAACTGAGTTAGAAGCATTAACATTTTCATTATCATCTATGTTTATCATCATCTTTGTTTATTTAATCTTTGACTTCCTTGCATCTTCACAGCAGAGAAATTCCAAAGCCAATTTCTTGTATACTTCAGATGCGTTCCTGAAAATCTCTATGAATTAAACCATTTTCCACATTACTTGACAAGATCATGACAGAGATATCTAATTTGTTAAGAGATATCTGTGATGTTAAGTACTCCTTCTTTCTAACATTTAGATTAAAGATCCTCTGATTCTAATCTTATTATCAAGTAATTAATGATCTGTAAACCAATACTGATGTGTGTTGTGCCGGTGCTGAAGGAGTGAAGGATGCGCTATCCCAAAATATGCTGAGTTGGTGTATTTATTATTTTGAGTTAAAAACATTGAAGAAATTGTAGTTTCAGGAAGGGCAAGCTGACCTATCTCTTCCAGCAGACAGCAAGTCACAGAGATTCCTCTGGAAGGGACCCCCTCCCTGTACCAGGGTACGTTATCACAGAGATTGGGAACTGGGGGCTGCAATGAACCATAATAAACATACTTACCAAGGTAGCCCTTATCTTTCACTACTTCTCCACCCCCCATATATCTCCTAGTGAACCCTGAAGAAATTTACTGCCCCTAGCCAGATCCTCTTTGTCCTCCCAAGTTTATTGGTTTTTGTCTAAAAAGTATAAAAGCATCTTGCTCTGGCCACTTCAATTTTCACTCTTGTGAAAATCCCCATGTACATGTAAAATTAATAAAGTTTGTATGATTTTTTTCTTGTTAATCTACTTGATGTCGATTTGGCTCCTAGGTCAAGCCATAGAGCCCACTAAGAGTTAAAAAGGGTTTGGAGGTGACCTCTGGCTCCCCCACACTGCCAAGCAACAAAAACCTGCGGAAAATCTTTTTGACATTTGAATCGCTATCCTTGCATTACTTTTTCAAAGTTTCCATTTTCAGATTCTGGGCCATCCTAAGATTTGGTGGTTTTAAAATGTGTCTGCAAATTCTTTGGTGTGTCTCCCCTAAAACACGTGGAATCTAATTCCCTTACCCTTAAGCATGGGTTCAGCTTTAGTGGCTTAATTCTGATAAATAGAATATACTCGGAGTGATGTTGTGTGATTTATGAGACTAGGTCATCAACATCATATGGCATCCTTCTCGCTCTCTCTCACTCTCACTCTCTCTCTCTCTCTCTCTCAGATCATTCACTGTAGGAGACACTGACTTCCCTGTTGTGAGGACACTCAAGCAGCCATATTCAGAGGTCCATGTGGTAAGGCATGAAGGCCTCCTGTCAATTCTAGTGAGAAACCTAGTTTTCTTGCCAACAACTGTGTGAGTGAGCCATCTTGGAAGCAGATTCTCCCACCCCAGATGAGCCTTCAGATGACTGGAGTTCTGGCTGACATCCTGACTGCAATCTCATCAGAGACTTCAAGCCAAAATTACCCTGCTTCCAAATTCCTGACCCTACAGAAACTGTGCGAGATAATGTATGCTTATTGTTTAAGCCACTAAGTTGTTCTTTTTTTGGGGGGAGGGGTGATTTGTTATGCAAAAACAGAAAACTAATACAGAAATTATACCTGCCATTATCAAAGAGCCCTCCAGTGAGGGTTAATGGTATCCTTGAATGTTTAGGGAAACTAGGCATGTTAAGTGTAAATATAGAAACGGTCTTTGTCAAAACTAAATAAAGCAACAGAAATGGAACTTGAGTGGCTGAAAATAAAGATTCAATGAAAACTCTCTAATCCCTTGATCAGAAGCCATGCATAATAAATGACCACTATGTATTTAGGTCAGTGGCTCTTTCTATCATTAACTATTACACGTTTTTCTGCATTTCCCAGAACTAAGTGGGAGATGAGAAGGGAAGGAGTTTTGGAGAGCACGTTTAGAAGAAGAGTATGAGGGGCGGCTGTGACCACTCCTGCCATGTGGACTATAGAGTTTTGTGATCCATTACCCTCACAAAATAGAAATGACACTATATACTTAGTCACCATCTGTTCCTCATTTATACACTCAGGTCCACTGTGGTTTGAGTACATTGCTTTATTTGATTTACATTAGTTCACAAAGCAACAAACGGGGGAAACCTGTTATGAGGACAAAGGGTTCCTGCTAAGCTTTTTTCTCTCCAGTGTCAGAAATGTCCAGTAGTGCAAACGGATCCTGCAGAGTTCAAGGAGAAGAGCTTTCTTTTGGAAAGTCCTCTTGTGCACTCCATCTCTTTTCATCTGATGGGGCTCTGTGTTCCCCACGTGTACTTTTTTAGAGGGGAGGCTGGAGCCCTGGCAAAGGTTCAGAAATACTAACCAGCTCCTGTTTGAGTTCATTAGAGCAAAGCCAATTTTTCTTTTTTCGTTATTTTCTTTTTCTCATCTTCTTCTAGTGATGCAACTTGGACCAATTTTCATAGAGCTGAACCTCAGGGACATATTATATAGATGGAGACATACGGTTCTTGGGTTTTTTTTTTTTTAATATTTTCGATGTTGAATCATAGACTATTAGAGCTGGAGAATGTCTGTGAAATCCCTTGATCTAGTGGTTTGCAAACTGAGTCCCGCGGAGCCCTGGGGTTCCTCAGGAGTGCTCTGGGGCCAATCCAGTTTTATCTCTTTTCATATACTTGTGTTCTAGCCATATTAAACAGGAAGTTCTGAGGCCTCTGATTTAGTCTATTGCACCCACATTTAAGATGTTTGAACTGAGGTTAAGAGAGAGAAATTGATTTGTGCAGTCATATAGTTTGTGATGGTTGGTTTGAGCTGAGCCTCCAGTCTGGAGTTTCAGACTGCCTGGAGGGTGGTCTTCAAACACAACATACCATTTTCCAAATATCAGGATAAATATTACATATCAGGGTCTCAGCAGTAGAACTGATTCTGATGAAATGGAAGGATATGGCCCATTTTGGATGGCTTTCCTCTCCTCCTTCTCCCCAGTGCATTGATTTACAAAATCGTTCAAAAGACACTTTATCTTGGCTAGATTTTTAATTACTAGTGCCTTCTGGTATTTATATATCTAGTCAAATCTTTTTTTTAGAAATTATACTGCAGATAGAAAGAACCCCTTTCTTAAAGTCGTGGACACATTTAATATTCTAAGAATTTTGAATTATTAAAAATATCATACCCCTAGCTCCCCCAAAAGGCCTATCTTTACCTGGGTTGGATCTGGACAATGTGAAAGTGACACAGTAGGTGGCTCCCTTGAGCAAAAGTGAAACCATTTTAATTCATCATGCTCCTGCAGCTCCTCTAGAATAGATGAGAACACCTGTGGCTTTAGGAATTGGAGATCCCTCAGGCTGCCTGCAGGGGCTGCTTATCAAAGGGAAACAGCATAAGGCATTAAATTCCCTCCAGTCCTGTCCGGCTATAATTCGGAACTCAGCGACTATGGGAAACTCATCTGTAGAGATTTTCCTCTCTTTTCTTTCTCTTTCTTTCTTTCTTTCTTTCTTTCTTTCTTTCTTTCTTTCTTTCTTTCTTTCTTTCTTTCTTTCTTTCTTTCTTTCTTTCTTTCTTTCTTCCTTCCTTCCTTCCTTCCTTCCTTCCTTCCTTCTTTTCTTTTCTTTCTCCTTCCTTCCTTCCTTCCTTCCTTCCTTCCTTCCTTCCTTCCTTCCTTCCTTCCTTCCTTCCTTCCTTCCTTTCTTCCTTTCTTTTCTTTCTCCTTCCTTCCTTCTTTTTTATTTTTATTTTTTTTTGAGACGAAGTCTTGCTCTGTCACCCAGGCTGGAGCACAATGGCGTGATCTCAGGTCACTGCAACCTCTGCCTCCCAGTTCAAGCAATTCTCCTGCCTCAGCC